ACCCCACCCTTTTGTTAACTTTAAAACACCCGGGTCAAAACACGACCCTTGTCCATCTTTCAGTCCTCAAGATCAAGTCTGGGTGTGGGTTTCTTAATATCTTAGGATGGGTGAAGTTCTTATTCATAAAATATAAAAATAAAAACTCCTAGCCCTGGCCGGTGTGGCTCCGTGGTCAGAGCGTCCACCCTCTTACTGGAGGGTCTCAGGTTCAATTCCCAGGCAAGGGCACGTACCTGGGTTGCAGGTTCGATTCCCAGCCCCCGTCAGGGGGGTGCACGGGAGCCAACCAACCCATGTCTCTCTCACATCAGTGTTTCTCTCCCTCTCTCTCCTCCCCCCTACCGTCCTCTCTCTAAAAATCATTGGGAAAAACTATCCTCGGGTGAAGATTAAAAAAATAATCACCATAATAAGTTCTATTGATTTCTACTTGAGGTGGCGACAGTGGCCTGTAAAAATGATAAAATGTTACCAATCTGTAACATTTCCGACATACTCGACTGAGCCTTTACCCGCTTCAAAGAATCAACTCACAGATTATATAATCTGTCTAGGAAAAGATTCTACAAATTAACAGTAGTTAACTAAAAACCGAATAACTTTGAACTTCTTATAATTAAGCGTAGACTTGTTACATATCCAAACTTAATTTTTCACCTTCTAGGCTAGCTTGCACAGTCAATATATTTTTTTTAAAGACTTATTTATGGCTGCTGACTTTTTCACCTTGGACCTCAAGTGCAAGCTTCCCCCCGTGATTATACCCAGCTGAGTGCCTCTCAGGGCGGCAGGGAGCAGAGAAGGTGGTCTGCTCTCTAGCCTCCACCGCCCCGGCTGTCCTCTCAGCTATCTTTGCTGGAAGTGGGGATGTGGGAGGGATGTCCCCTCCCTGTTGGCACCTTCCTGTACCCATCCACATGGGACTTCAGAAAACTTTTAAGAGCATTACAAATATTTTACCGCTGCTGAATCACAGCCAGCCCTGCTACACAGGCTCCTCTCTGACACCTGCAGCCACAGGTTCTGCAGGCCATGGGCCTAACAGTCCGCACACTCCCTGTAACCCAAGGGCGTGCTTAGAGCCGTGACACACTGGAGCTGGGCAGGAGCTGACGGGCCCTCCTCACCCACCATCATGTCTGCCAGCTAGGCGCCTGCAGTCCCGAGGGGGGAAGGACCTGCCTGCCCGAGGTGCCGGCACTTCTGGCTGAGCCTCCACTCCTGCAAGGGTCCAGGGTTCCCTCCCATCCTGTAAGTCTCACCGGTCAGGTCTGAGTCAGCACTGGAATAGCCGCAACGCCCCCGATTCACCTGCAGACCCTCTTTCACCTGGTACAGTGCCTGGGACACGGCGGCAGCTCAGCAAACGGGGGATGGTCCAAGGAAGAGGAAATCTAGAGGCACCCGGGTCAAAACCTAGAAGGCGAGGCAGGAGAGAGGTTGGGACTTTTGAGAAAATTCCCAACAAAATGCCCTGCCTGCGGGTTCATGCGGTGGTGGCCATAGACTGAAGTCACTGGGAGCACTGCTGAGCTGGGCATCTCGCTCAGGCACTCGACGGACATTCACCCAGGGTGCACGTGGTGAACGGGGGCAGGGGATACACAGGCGAGCAAAGACAGACACGGGCCCTGATCACGGGGCGAGAGCAGGGCGCAGGTGAACAGTGCATTTCAGTGCAAGGGAAACGCAGGGGCACGCCTAACGAAGGGTGTGCGTGAGGGGGCAATTTTAGACAGCTCAGCCCAGGGCAAGCGTCTTGGAGGAAGCAGCATGTCAGCTGGCACTCAGGTGGCCTTGCTCTACCTACTGACCGCCAGCTGTGTGACCTCAGGAAGATTACTCAACCTCTCTGAGCCACAGCTTTCTCATCTGGATTAGGAAGGCAACTCGGGTACCTCACAGGGCTGGCAGAATGGGGAAGGAAAGGCACCCAAATCACCCGCACACCCTTAGCAGGTAATGAAGTTACCGTCATTCTGATAGCGTTAGAGACCCGTGAAGGAGGGGCAGAGGAGAGCATGGAAATGCAGGGTCCCCCAGGACCAGACTGTTGTCCCTCTCTTCCCTGCTGGCCGGCGAGTTCTAGGGCAGGGCCCCTGGTCTCCTCTGCGCCCAGAGCCCGCTCCCCTCCAGGAGAAGCCAAGAGGAAGGAGCATGAGGGGCGCCGGGGTCGGGGCCACCTGGTTACCTAGAAACTGTG